GGCAGTTCAAATCTCACCAGGCTCAAGGTTGACTCTGCCTTCCATCCTTCCGAGGTGGGTAAAATGAGGACCCAAATTGTTGGGGGCAATATGCTGATCTGTAAACCACTTAGAGAGGGCTATAAAGCGGTATATAAATCTTAAGTGTTATTGCTATTGCTATATGGACTTGTCCAAGCTTCTTGTGCCCCAACAATTGTCATAATGTCCCCAACTATAATTGCAGACTGGAACAGTTCTAAGCAAAAAGACCTCAGTTGTGCAAACTTTGTGAATGAGTTAAGCTAAATAAAACAGATACATAAAACTACGAGAGAGGCCACGAGAAAAAGCATCGTCATCGTATGAAAAGTTATTCTGCAGTTTGATAGATGAGTATAAGAGAAACTAAGAATCAATGAGAATTAAAGGAGTTCAATGGCTTCTAGTTTTTAGAATTATTTTAAAATGTGTTTTTAGACTTCAATGAGGTGTTAAGCCTAACATATTCTCCCAAGCACTGGATTGCTTCCTTTGACTATATTAATAGTTCGAGAATTATTAAACTGTCTTTTGAAAACAGATTAACTCTTAAAAAAACAAGTTTATAAACTGTGTCTTTATACTTATTAAACACAACCCTTCTGTCCTCATGAAACTCTTAGATTAAGCCAGAACACATGGAAAAAATAAAACAATAATCCCTATCACCATAATATCTTTATTACAAGCAACAGAATTTACTTAAATGCTTATTCCATCATTCCTGGGAATGATTTCAAATTTCACACTTTGGATTCAGATGTTTGCTCTGATATCAGAATAACGAGCATTATATACTAAAGAAACAAAAAAAGGCTACTACAATTATTTAATATTAGAAAATAGCCTATGGTGAAGGCCAACAGAGGAGAGAAGAAATTTTGCAGAACAATTAAGGAGGACGCCCAAATTTTAAAAAAAAAAAGCTTTGAAGTTGTGACACTATTCAATCTTTCTCGGAAGGAGAAGAGAATTGCTAGATTAGTCAAAGACGTGTCTTTTTTTCAAAAAAGTGTCTGTTTTGTCCTTTTAAGTGATTGCTTTTTGGATAGCGTCCAATTTAATTGCTTTGCTGAATCCTTGGGAACAAAATGAGAAGCTGACCTTACATGTAAAGAAAGAGTATAGCAATAGCATTTAGACTTATATACTGATTCACAATGCTTTACAGCCCTCTCTAAGCGGTTTACAGAGTCAGCCTATTGCCCCCAACAATCTGGGTCCTCATTTTACCGACCTGGGAAGGATGGAAGGCTGAGTCAACCTTGAGCCTGGTGAGATTTGAACTGCTAAGTTGCAGGCAGCTGGCAGGCAGCAGAAGTAGCTTCAGTACTGCACTCTAACCATTGTGCCACCGCAGCTCTTTATAACCCTTAAAAGATGGCATCCAGTGCTCAATTTTCCTGGGAAAAAGTAGACCTACCTTAACTAAATCCTTGGGAAAGTGTCTTCAGTCTAATCACAGTAGGGTCAACCTATTTTCCAAAGCACCAGAATGCAAGACAAGAAACAATTAACTAAGGAGAAATTGCCTAACAGTGAGAACAATTAACCAGTGGAGTGGCTTGCCTTCAAAAGTTGTGGGCACCCCATCACTGGAGGCTTTGAAGAAGAGACTTGTCTGCAATGGTATAGGGTCTCCTGCTTGAGCAGATGGTTGGATTAGAAGACCTTCAAGGTCCCTTCCAATTCTGTTATTCTACTAAAGAATGGAATAACAACTTGGAATCCTCTTCATGCCTCTTCATGCAAGCACAGATTTGCCCTTTGATTTTACTGAAGGCCTACATTCTAGGATCATCTTTAACAACTCAGCTTGATGTGAGTCTTTCCTCTAAGGCACTTACTTTCTGTAACATTCTGTCCTGTCTTTTTTCCTCTTATTAGGCCAAATAATATTCAGTTCAGTTCTCTTGACAGTCTACTCATTTTTATATCCAAGGTCCACAGTCTTTAATTTGGATAACTTTGGTCAAAATATGGGTTTTTCATGCAATATGTGGAATGTTATTTTGGCACAGAATATATGCAGCTTTTATTTATTACAGGTTAATCCAGGATAAGAAAAGTGATTGGAGAGATATACTACTCTTTGATTTTTTTTTTCTTGCATCTATCTCTTAGCTCTCTTCATCATATACTTTTATTTTTCTTAGCTCTCTTTACCATATACTTTTATTTTTCTTGGATGAAGCAGTTGAGCGGTTAACCTCCTTTGAATAACCTTTGATCAACCAATAATGACTTAACTTATGATGTGGTATTTCTTTCTCTCTCTCTCTCTCTCTCTCTCTCTCTCTCTCTCTCTCTCTCTCTCTCTCTTTCTCTCATATTCAGTCTTATCAGATTCCCCCTTGATCAGTACTTATGGCTCCTGCAAAAACCGATGCTTTGAACTTGATGAAGCAGAGCCTCCACTGTGCCGTTGTGACAACCTGTGCAAGAGTTATAGCAGCTGTTGTGTTGACTTTGATGAACTGTGTTTAAAGACAGGTAGGGTGCAACTTCTCTGGTCCATAGAAAGAACAATGCTAATGAAGAGTTATTGTGACTTTTTTTTTTTACCAAGCAATGTTTTCTAACCTTGTTTGCATGACTGTTGGTCCTATTCAAGGAGCATTGGGGAAAGTGAAAACAGTGCTCTGCCATCATTTTGGCTAGACATTACTTGATGAGCATGAAACACAGAGGCTAGAGCATTCCAAACAAGATATTTATTAGGGAATGATCGTGGCTCCTTCACACATATTTTACAGAGGCCAGGGGATGGCCTCATCCATTTATAATCTTCCTGCATTGTCCAGTGTTCCATCCGTTTTTCATACAGGAGAAGATCTGTATGAAAAGTAGAGTCATCACGCTACAAGTGTAGATGTGTTTGTGATACTCGTCCACCCTTTCCTTAAAAGAAATGTGGCTTAAATAATTTATGGTGTTGACTTGGAAGATTTATAGATAAATGGAACCGATAAGTTTTCATTCTTGGGACTACCTTGTATGTAAACATGGGTTTATTTACATGCATGAATGTTTAACCACCTGTCAAATTCTGCTATATGTTTAAGTATCTTGTGGATCAAATTTGTCAGATTTTTGTCATAGAAGGAGAAAAAAAAAGGCAGAACTATTATAGGTAGTCCACAACTTATGACCAGAATTGAGCCCAACATTTCTGTCCCTAAGCGAGGCAGTTGTCAAGTGAGTTTTGCCCATTTTATTACTTTTCTTACCACAGATAATAAGTGAATCACCACAGTTGTTAAATTAATAACACGGTTGTGAAATGAATCTGGTTTCCCCATTGACTTTGCTTGTCAGAAGGTCACATAACCCTGGGACCCGGCAGCCGTCTTAAATATGAAGCAGTTGTCAAGGGTCTGAATTTTGGTCACGTGACCATGGGGATGTGGCAATGGTCTTGTGAAAAACGGTCATAAGTCACTTATTTCAGACCGTACTTCGGACAGTCACTAAATGAACAGTTATAAGTTGAGGATCACCTGTGCTCACTTTCCTTCTAATGTTACTTTTCATAGATGTTGGCTAGGTGTCAAGCATTCTCAACCATAAATCACAGACTCTAAATCACATAATGACTAGCTGAAATGTTTGAATGAGGTCATTGGTTTTTTTTTCCTTCCAAATGTAGAGAATCAGACTTGAACAGGAGTTTAGAGCGCTGTTTAGAAAATATGGAGCCAATATGAAAAATTCTTTCAGCCAAGAATTATTTATACCCTGTGTTTCCCTGAAAATAAGACCGGGTCTTATTTTGTTTTGGGCCCCAAAATATGCACTAGGGCTTATTTTTGAGGGTGTCTTCTTTTTTTTTTCCATGTATGGGAGGTCCACTTCTAGTTGCTTGCGGAGGGGCAGGAGGCCACGCAGCAGGCCAATGCCACTGCCACAAGATGGGTGTGTGTGTAGAGCTGCCCCATGCACCCTGAACCTTGCATACCTCAGGGTCTAACCCCTACAGCTAGGCCACCCATGCCCCAATATTTGACTCGCCTCACGGCAGCATTTCCAGTAGCCCCATCCAGCAGGATCCCACATGGACACGACACGAGGTGGGGGATGGAGCTGCCCCACATGCCCTGCACTGCCTTACCTCAGGACCCCCACAGCCAGGCCACCCATGCCCTGACATCTGCCTTGCCTCATGGTTGCGGCACCAGCACACTGTTCAGCCTCCTGCTCCATTGGAGCTGCGAGCAAGCAGAAGAAGTGAGCTGGAGGCCACATAAGCTCCTGCTGCACATGGTTGCTGTGGCTGCCGCAACAAGGCAGGTGTCGGGGCATGGATAGCCTGACTCTGGGGGCCCTGAGGTAAGCCAGTGCAGGGCATGTGAGGCAGCTCCACTCCCCCCTTGTGGCCACGGCACCGTGAGCAACCAGATGAAACAGGCACGCAACCAGCTGTGCAACCTCTTAAGTAGGACTTATTTGGGAGGGGGTAGGGCTTATATTAGGCACGTGTAAAAACATGCTAGGTCTTATTTTCGGGATAGGTCTTAGTTTCAGGGAAATAGGTAGTTGTGAGAAAAGGGTGATGTATTTCAATGCTATGATCATTCAGCAGATAGTCTAAAAAGTAAACTTGGTAGATCTGCCCTTTTCTTCTGGGCTGCCTTTTTGGAATGTTCACAACAGACTTCAGGGAACGTATCGGATGATACTGAGTGATTATAATGCCATTCTGTTGCCTCAAAATATGCTGCTTTGTTTTTAAAACATTTCTGCCCTTGTGATGACACAAGCCGGTGGTTGGGAATGTACCAAAGAGCGCTGTGGAGAGACCAGGAATGAAGATCATGCCTGCCACTGCTCAGAAGACTGTTTATCAAGAGGAGACTGCTGTAGTAACTATCAAGTGGTTTGCAAAGGTATTTCCTCCCATTTTTTTCTCTTCCTATATATCAAGAAGCTTTTTGAAGTGTTGTAGCTACTGGTTCTGCAGGGATGGTCACACCAACTGTTGTGCAAAGGGAAACAAATCAGGCCAACCCTGTTAAAGCATGTAATGTGATAACCACAACAATTCTTACTTAGTACGTGGCAGTGTGAATGCCCAACTTCTTAAGGAATCTCTGTGGATTTTACTCTGCTAGTGGTTGCCATCTATAGGGGGCTTTGCTCATCTCCATTTCAAGAGCCGTTGAGCCAGCACTGTCTGAAGACATTTCTGAGGTCATGTGACCAGCATGACATCATGGAGTACTGTTTCCTCCCCACCAAAGTGGTACCTATTCATCTACTCGCATTTGCATGCTTTCGAACAGCTAGGTTGGCAGGAGCTGGGGCGAGGATGGGAACTCACCCTGTCACGTGACGCTCGGGTCTGAAACCTGGGCTGTTGGCTTTCTACCTGACAAGCCCAGCATCTTAACCACTGAGTCACTGCACTTCCCCAAGGAGTCTGTAATATTGGATTTTTTGTCACCAAAACAGCTTTTCTACTACTACCTATGGGTTAACTCCCTCAGTCTTGGTTAAGTTATTTATTTTTGGTCAAGGGCCTGTGCTGAGAAATGGATGGAGTGGACTAGGGATGTCAAACTCGATTCCATTGAGAGCCGCATGAGGACTGTGTTTTACCTCAGGGGGTTGGGGGTGGGGCTGGCCAGGGAGTGTAGCCAGGGAAGCCAGCTCAATGTCCCTCGGCGAGGCTCCTTTTTTTGGTCACGACAGCCCCCTGCAGCCCTCTGCCAGCAAAGATGGAGCTCAGTGTGGCCACACACGGCCTCCTCAAGCTCCATTTTCGCTGGCAGAGGGCTGCAGGAGGCCGTCATGGCCAAAAACAGAGCCTGGGTGGGCCAAGCTCCGTTTTCACTGGCACAGGCACCGTGGTCCAGTCCTTCGCTGTTTCCAAGGTGACTCCGCAGGCTAGATCTAAGCACCCTAGGCATTTCATCCAGCCCTTGGGCCTTGAATTTGACAACCCTGGAATAGAGGAAAGATTCCATAACTTAGCCCTAACCAAAAGGAATGTAAGTGGCTCCATGCAGTTTTGATGGCAAAATTTTCAGAAACATCTAAGGAGGATAGAAAGCGACTCGCCCCGAGTCACCCAAACTGGTTTCCATGTCTAAGCCGGGATTAGAACTTAGTTTCCCCTTTTCCTATTCCAGCACCTTACCCAACTGGGTCTTCATTAAAATAATACATTATTTCAGAGAAAAATATGTATTATCTCTTCAGTCGTTTCTCCTATTCAAGAGCCACATGAAAGGTCTTCAAACATTACTCTTTAAACATTGCCTGACCATTTTAGTTGCTTGTTATGCAAGCCAAGCTCTTTTATTTTGAAATAGTCAATGTTCTACTACTGAATACCTTTTGAACTTTATCTCTTTAAAAAAAATCACGGTTGTAAATGCATCTATTTTTGTCTCTTATTTGAATCCAGAAAGGTGCCTTTTTCCTAACTCTACTAATTCAAATTTCTGTTCTGCATCCTCTATCATGCAAAAATGGACTTCTGTTGCTAAAACATGGCTGTGGCTCCATAAAAGCTAGTCCATGACAGCTTGTGTCATAACAAATCTATCAGTCTGTAAGTGCCACAAGGCTTTCTCTGTCCTTGCTGCAACCAACAAACATAGCTACCCCTTCAAAAGTTGTTTCCACTGGTAATATTAACTTTGGGAGTTTGTTTTGCATTTGCTGTTAAACGGAGAGAATTGAGGATTTTATTTTCTGTAATTGACGTAATCAAGGGCCAAGTTTGCATCTCGCAACACTGTTCTCTTCAGGCAAGGTATTGGAAGCTGTAGCATTAAAAGGCAAGGATGAGGTGGACATGGGGACAGCTATTCTGCTCCCAGAATTTGCTTCAGAGTGGCATTAATAGTGCGAATGCATCTGATACATATATGCTTGCAGACCGTGTTTACAAATTACTGTGTTTTTCAGAGTATAAGACATTCCGAAGTATAAGACGCACCTAACTTTGGGGGAGGAAAACAAGAAAAAAAATCTGCCTCTGCCTCCCAGAAATTTGCCTTTTTGCAGCAAACAAACAGCAAACAGCCTGGTCAGCTTCAGCACAGCCTGATTAGCACAAGCAGCTGATTGTCGGTTGGATCGGCCTCCCGAGGATCAGCTGTTTCAGGCTGCAGGGATTGCCATAGCCTATTGCTGCCTCTGCGCACCCCATTTTTGGCCTGTTCCGGGCAGTGGGGATCAGAACGGGAGGAAAATGGGGTGTGCGGAAGCCAAAAATGGAACACAGAGGCCGAAAATGGGGTGTGCATAGGCAGCAATAAGGCAATGGCAATCCCTGCAGCCTGAAACAGCTGATCGTTGGGAGGTCAATCAGCTGCTTGTGCTAATCAGGCTGTGCTGAAGCTGAAACAGGCTGTTTGCTGCAAGGAGGCAAATTGCTGGGAGGCAGAGGCCAAAGGGTGGGGGCCGGCGGGTAGGCGGGGCTTCGGCAACATTCACTGTATAAGACAGACATTTCCATCCACTTTTAGCGGTGGAAAAAATGCATCTTATACTCCGAAAAATACAGTACATAATTTTTAAACAGCTCAGATTTCTTGATGTTGAAGCTTGGCCCTGAGAGCCAAATTAGAGTAAGCGTACATTAGGGAACAGCTCAGCTCACATATCTCACTAAGTCAAGATTTTTTTACCTCATGATTTGTTGAACAGGGCATGGTCACCTGACGTGCAGATACACTAAATTACAATTCATAGGTTCTGAGTAATTCACAAGTCAGCAAGAGTGCTTAGCAAATACAACGTGTCTTCCTTCTAGATATGTTTGCATAGTTTCCAAATTTGGGGGGACTTATGGGCATCTTGGGATTTATGGGATCATGTTGTGGTCCCTTTCAAAAGACAGTAGTTGTGAAAGCTATGGCCAGCCAGAAGCCAGCCTTCTACCGGAAAGCAAAGTAACTATAGGAGAAGGGCAGGTGAGCCCGGGGTGGGGGGCAGAGTCAAGAGAGTAATCAGCCTGGGGTCATTATGTTCCCAAAAATGTTCTATGTCCAATGCTGCTTGAATTCCATTAACTCTTATTTAGCACCAACTAGATATTTGAGTGTATAGGCATGAGCAATAAATCATCTTAACTGGAGCTTAATGTGTGGTCTTGATTCTTTGCGCCTGACATTAACCATCAGATTGCAACATCAACCTTTTTGGAATCCAGAAGCATCGCTAGAAATGCCAGCTTGGTTTGAAACTGGCACTTGACTTTTTGGCATGCATATTTCCAATTATTTTTTTTAAAAAAATGAAAATAATCTTTAAAAATTAGGTAGGGAGGAAACTGGTAGACATCAAAAAATTTTGTTGGTATGTACATGGTCAGCTCCAGATACCACTGGGACTTGAGCTAACATTGGAAATGCAGAGGAGTCTTGTTGTTGCAATCCAATGTCTGTTTACTTGAGAATAAATCTAGGCAATCGTAATGCACAGGATAGGACATTGTTGGAACCTAACCCAACTTCACATGACACGTGTTTTCTTTTAGGAGACACTCCCTGGGTCATGGATGATTGTGAGGATATTCGAACTCCAGAATGCCCAGCAGGGTAGGTTCTTTTCTTTACTTACTTGAATGAAGTTAAAAAAAAACCCACTGTTTTGGCTTCTCCTGATTGCCAAATCAGTTGTGTGTTGTGTGACTTCTTTAACTTTGGCATTGCCTGATCCACAGAAATCAGCATGAAGTTAAATATATTTATCATCACCATCTTCATTTAATGACCTCATAATCCCTTGCGGGGTGAAGTCTGGGCAACTGAATGGAACTAGCTGTATGTTTTAATGGCCAGATGCCCTTTCTGTTGCCAATGTGGAGTTTGGTTCAGCAGCTATATTCTCAAGAATGCTCCAGAGAGAGAAATATGTGCCTCAACCTAGGACCAAACTCACAGCCTCCTGATTGGGAGGCGAGAGCTACACCTCTAGATCACCGCACCACTCCTTTTTTTATAATAAACTTTATTGAACTTTTACTACATTAAAAACATAAAAAATATATCACTCAATAACAGCAATTTGCTTATCGTATAACAATAATTCATGGTCTATTTACAGGTATTGATTGATGCGTAATTACATTCTTATTTTATCTGTTACTTATATTTGATAACTATCCATCTTTAATCTATCTTCAATATTTCATAAGGTGTGGGAACAATGGTATAGCTGGATAGAACGGACCACTGCACCACTCCTATGTTAAATATACCTATATCCTTTCAAAAGTTGATGTCCGACTCAATAAGGAGCAAGAGATGCTGATCAAAAGACCATAGGACTTTTTTCTTGGGAATGTGTATAGCATATTAGCATCTGGATCCCAGATGAAAATACCTAGGAAACCTTTTTAAAACTTTTGCTAAATTGGATTGCATTTGTTCTCTCTTGCAAGCTCTTACTGCAGTCCGTTCTACCGGTTTACTAAATTATCTTTATCCTTTAGTTTTCGTCACCCTCCACTGATCATTTTCTCTGTGGATGGTTTCCGTGCGTCGTACATGAAGAAAGGTGAAAAAGTGATGCGCAATATCGAGAAGCTAAGTAAGTGGGCATGCTTGAACATATATCTCAGAATGGTGAAGCTATTGACTGGCCATGACTTCTGCTGATTTGGGTTGGCCAACTTTGCTTGAACCCATACAATAAAGAGGGTAGGGCTCCATTAGTGTTTGGATGGGAACAGAAATCATCATTATCCTCACAAAATTCAAAGTAGAAATGGAAAGATTATGGCAAAAAAGCAAAGATAGAATCCATAGTGATGGAAGCCTTGGAGTCAACCTCTACATATCTGCAGCATCACTTCAGCACCATCGACAAATTGACAAAACCAGTCAATTGCAAAAGGCAGCTTTACTTAGAACAGCTTACGTTCTGTGGCAATATCTTTAACACCATCAAGCCTTGACATAACTGCCTATCCCAGCTCCTTGGCAATGACTTGATATGGGAATAAAAATGCTAAATCCAATCTAAACGTCTGGCTGTCTGTGTGACCAATTGAATGAAAGAAATGTTCTATTTCGCATAGGCATCAGGTTAGCATAGGATGAAAATTTATAACAGCCTGTCTTGAGAGGTATTTACTGAGAAGTAAATGAATAGATAAAATTCTATATATTTTCAGAGCAAATTCCAAGGAATACAGACTTAGATAGATAATAGATGGATGGATGGATAGATATAGATATAGGTAGGTAGGTAGGTAGATGTACATACATACATATATACGTGTGTGTGTGTGTGTGTGTGTGTGTATGTGTATATATCAATTATAACTCAAATTTTTGCATGGTTTTGTTTAGTTCTTGTGAAAAATGTCATACTTTGTGTTGTGTGGTTCAAAGCAAGCAGCAAACATAACATTGAATTTATCAACAGTTCAATGTGGTGTTGACATCTTGGCGAGGAATGCCATAAAAGCTTTCCACTGTTCAAAGCAGATGTCAGTGGTGGGATTCATTTTTTTTTTACTACCGGTTCTGTGGGTGTGGCTTGGTGGGCGTGGCAGGGGAAGGATACTGTAAAATCTCCAGTCAGAGGGTGGTATTTGCCAGTTCTCCAAACTACTCAAAATTTTCTCTACTGGTTCTCCAGAACTGGGTCAAACCCTGCTGAATACCACTGCTGGCAAACATGATATTTCCAGCTTTATAGTTGTGTCCAAATATGAGAATGCGTTCAATGTCTCTGGAAATGTTTGAATTTTTATACTTAATAGAATGAGGCATTTTTTAAAAAACTGCATTGCAATTATACTCCATGGGTTAAAATTTGACCAGATGTAGAATGTGGTCATCTTCAAGAAATGAACTGTTTTTACTCTAGGATACACATCTTCCCTTGTTTGAATGTTGGTTTTTATGGTGCTGAAGAAATGAGCTATCCTCTTAACCATACTGCATGTTGGCAGAGTCAATATATTAGAGGAACTGAATTGAATAATTTGTGGGAATCCATCCATTCTCTTTTTATACTATGTGAATCAAACTGTTACATTAAATAACAATAAGTTTAGTTTGTTATATCGTTTGTTATACTACCTACGGTTAACTCAGTTTTAAGATTTAGCATCTTGGGTGAATTGAACCATGTTGTTTTCAGGATCCTGTGGAACTCATGCCCCCTACATGAGACCTGTCTATCCAACCAAAACCTTCCCAAACTTGTACACTCTGGCAACGGTAAGTTTTCTTTTTCTTTATGCATACACATAAAATATATATTTAAAAATATATATTTAAGCATGGCTGGGACATTAAGACTCTTGAATATATTACCTCTTTTGAACTGGAGGAAAACAGCTCATTAATTTGAGGATGGCCATTTATATTTGTGGGGCAGTGAAATAATGACAATTATGTAATCTGCGAAGAGTTGAGAAAAGACAGACTCTAATCATTGAATTATATCTTGACTTGTGGCTTAAAGTTGTGGTACCCCCAAGTATAATGTATCTTCAGCTCCATCTTATTCATGCTGGCTGCTGATTATGGAACTGAAACCCCAAATCTAGAGGGCTTTGCCTTGGGAAATTTTGTCAGAATGATCTTTAGAAGAGAATGTTTGTAGCTCCGGATTGAGATGTAGGGTCCTTGGTGCTTTCTAAATTTGCTGGTTTTCTTGCAGACATTTCATGTCTAGTAGCACTAGTGATGTTACCTAGTTTGATAATGAAATGCCTGCAAGAAAACAACCAATGCTCAAGGAACACCAAGGACCGCACAGAATTATCTTTGACTCTAAATCAGGGGTCTCAAACACAATTTACCTGGAAGCCGCTGGAGGCACAGTCTGGGTGAGGCTGGGCCGCACATAGAAGTGTTTAGCCAGCTAGCGACGCATGGAGAATGCACTAATATTATACTTTCATATCACGGTGGGGGCCACAGGATATCATCCTGCAGGCCGCAATTGGCCCGCGGGCCCCGAGAATGAGACCTCTGCTCTAAGTGGGAGCTTCAGTAGCAAGTTTAGACCCAAAATGAAGACAGCCACAATATGAAATAGATGTTATGAATTCCAGGTAATAAAATGTGATCTGATCTGATTTACGAATTTACTTTTGCTCAAAGGGACTGTACCCTGAATCTCATGGAATCATTGGAAATTCAATGTATGACCCTGTGTTTGATGCTATTTTTAACCTTCGAGGAAGAGAGAAATTCAATCACCGATGGTGGGGAGGTCAACCGGTAAGTGTCAGTTTTATTTGACTTTGGTCCATTATGGTTAAATATCTTAGCTAGTTGCTTTTGCTCTTTTACATGCCATTAATTTCAGTCAGTAGTTAATTCAATCAATGCTACTTTTCTCTCTCTTTTTTTTGTCTTGGCCCTGCTCCTTTTTGAAGCATGGCAGCTACATATATACCTTGGGTCCGTGTTGGTGAACCTATGCCACGCGTGCCGGAAGTGGCATGCAGAGCCATTTCCCCCGGCATGTGAGAGGTCGTCCGGAAGAGCCCCACTGCGCATGCGTGTGTGCGCCGCCGCCCGACAGCTGATTGTTGGGTATCTGGCACATAAGCACAGGGGGCAGAGGGTGTGTGTGCGGGAGACTGCTGCATGCTGCATGCGAGGGGAAAATGCACACGGATGCGGTGCGCGAGGAGGGAGGCATGTGTACATGCTCAAAGATGCGTAGCGTGCGAGGGGGGAATCATGCATGCATGCACAGGTGCACGGTGCACAAGGAGGGAGCATGCGCAGACACGCGATGCACAAGGGGGGGCTCGCGTGCACATGCACAGGGGCCGTCGTGGGGGCTCAGCACGCACTGCCTTCTGGGTGCTGGCACATGAGTGCATGCAAACGAGCACACACGCAATTATCAGCACAGGAGCGGAAAAAGTTTAGCCACCACAGCCCTGGGTTATGTAAAACCTGTGAATGATTAAAGCAGCCGTGTCTTTCTCTAGACTTATGAAATGACTTTTAAAATGGTCCTTGACTATTCATTAAAGGTATTCATTAAAATACACACGTTTACAAAGGGCCTTTGTGTCGAAACTCCAGGATTGTCTTCAACTGGATTTGTCAATTCTGGACAGACCAAGTAGGAAGCTGCATATTGAACAGGATTTTTTTTTTACCTCATTTGGTGATATTTCCCCGCTCTTTGAGGGTAGTCTTAAATAATCTTATGCATCCTATTTAATAAGGTAGATATGATTAATATTGTACAGAAGCCTCTGAAGGTCACTTCAGAGCGTCTTCTGAATAGGCTGTGTGAACATTAAGGAGCCTTGTCCTTTGAAGAGACAATATAGGTGCTTTGAAGATTTCTACTTGTCAAAAGATGTGGGTGTGTGTCTGTATATTTATCCATAAAAGACATTTTTCCAGTGTATATGAACAGGTACACCTAGAGGAAAAGAGCTCACTTGGAAAGATCAACAAATTACTATCAACCAAAAGAATCCCTTCAGATCATGACTGATATGCATCTCTACCAATATTGTTTACAGAGACATAATTATCCTATCCATAATTAGGGATAGCTGGTTTAGATAGCCTTGCTCAAGCTATTTCTAGAGCCATTGTTATTATTTTTCTATTCAATCCGGTCTTTTCAGTAAGGATCCTTACTTAGTACCTCTTACTAAGAGGATCTTCTGATCCTCTCAGATTGAAAATAACTTGAGACTGCTTGAGTTTCCCTTTATATATTTTGTGTAGCTTTATTCTTGGACTTTATGTTCTATTTCTTATCTGAACTACTTGTTCTAAACCCTTCTAGGAATTTGACCAGTGTTATATAATTCTCAGATCCAAATGCTTAAATTCTTAGGAGCGGTCCTAGAAACCAACATTTTAGTTGGTTTTTAAAAACCTTTTTACTGTAGGAAAGTTTGTCTTTATAACACAGACATTTTGAGCCATTGTAATCTGATTATATTTTCCTCGTTAGATATGGATTACTGCTGCTAAGCAAGGAGTGAAAGCTGGAACATTCTTTTGGTCAAAGTAAGTGTTGGTTTTTAGATAGTGAAAATTCATACATAAAAGAGTTTTAGTAACAAAGCTACAATCCTAAAGGCAGGGAAATGTTCTTACGTGAACAGGGCTTAATTCTCAAATGAAGTTGAAATGGATTTCCTTAGCCTACCTGCTCTTTTCTTGCTTCTTTATAAGAGATTAAATTATATTTAGAATGTGCTCCTTTTGTTACTTTTTAATACCTAGTTAGTTTCATAGTGTTTTTCTGCAATGCTTAATTGAACATTCTTTCAGGAATCAATTGACCGAGGAATGAGATATCAGTGGTCTACAGTGTTGGTTGGAGTGAGATAGCTTGTTTTTCTACAAGTTTGTAAAAGTGTAACTACAATCATGAAAATATTATGTGTGTCTTCCGGTTGTAAAGATATTATCCAGCCTTCACTTACAAGTACTTTGTCACAGCTGTATCAACCAATATCATCTGGCATTACTGGTGCATGAGTAAAAGGAAGACATGAATACAGTAGTCCCTGACTTATGACTTATATCCAGAATTATGTTTGTAAATCATACCGGTCGTTAAATGGGACATCCCATGACTAACTCTATTTTATGATATTTTGCGGTGATCTTTAACCAAGTAACGATGATAGTTAACTCAGGGGTCTCCAACCTTAGCAACTTTAAGACTTGTGGACTTCAATTCCCAGAATTCCTCAGCCAGCAAAGCTGGCTGAGGGATTCTGGGAATTGAAGTCCACAAATCTTAAAGTTGCTAAGGTTGGAGACCCTGAGTTAACTGAATGCTGCGGTTGTTAAGCAAACCATTTTCTGCCATGAATGTTTTTTTGTCCAAAGCCGGAAATAAATGCCGGTTTTGAGAAAAATGATAAATGGTAGTCACATGACTGCAGAATGCTGCAAAGAGTCCTAAATGCAGGCTGTTTGCCAAGCATTCAAAATGTGATCATGTGACCTCCCACCAAGTGGAGAGGCCATTGGACTTCAAATCCAGATTGTAAGTATATTTTTTTGGGGGGGGAGTCTGTTATAATTTTGACTCCGGTCACAAGTCAAGGAGTATCTGTATGTAAAAACAGCATGCTCTTGTTGTGGCATGTTACTTAGCCACCGATATGTCATGCTGAAGGGAGTATCTAGCCACAATACCAAGTAGACATTGATAGTTTTATTCACTGTGAATGTGTGTTATTTCTCCTTTTAAATTAAAGCTATTATGCTGACAGCTGCTAAAACATCATAGCGAAGCGAAGTTCAGTTGTTGAGTTACATTTCATTTGTTGAACTACATGTTCTTAAGGAAATGCTTTCATGTATTTATCATGAATTTCCCACCACTTGGCTTGACACAGTTTTTGTTCTGACCAAGGCTTCCTGAGACAGTATCAATCACACGCTTAGTCCCCAAAACCCTCTTTTTATTTCAATGGCTGTGAATTATATGCATTCACAGCCCGTAATGAGTCCCAAATAGTTTGTGAATAGTCCCAACAGAAGTCTACCACAGTTTTTTTTTTAGATAAGGCTGATAAGCACCCATCTTTATCTCCCTTGAAATGTTGCCAATGACTAAATTGTCAATTAGCTGTACAAGGCCAAATGGAGCACAAAGTCAACGCTTCAGATTTTAAACCAACCAGAACAAACAAAGTTGCTTCCTGCAAAGACTCATGTCCCTTTGCTCTTCCTTTATGTCTTATGGGAGAGGCCAATCATCTCCAAGCCTTACTCCCAAGTTGCCCCTTTTGTCTTAACTGTTCTTGCCTTCTGGCAGCTCTGTGCACGCACGCACTGAGAACAGGCTCCCCCTGTTCCTCTGCCTCGCTGATGTCAGATTTTGGAGGCTCTGGAGTCAGCACATAACTCTCAGATGGCCCTGGCCCCATCTCTGTGTCAGACACAGATCCCTCGTCTGGGCCCTCCCCAGACTCCCGGACTGGCCCATGTTCCTCCCCACTGTCTGACTCTGCTGCCAGCTCCACAGACAGCCGGTGGACCACAACAGTTTTAATATTAATATAATATTTAATATAATATGGTCTCTCTTGATTAAAACAAAAATCCTATTCATTTTTCAACATGACACTTTAATAATCCCATCAAACTTCACACAGTAGAGAAGAAAGTTTGCCAACTAGCAGGGACTATGGTCATTCTTCCACATTTAATTTTCTGAAGAAAAGAAAGACGTATTTTTAAGCTGAGCATTTAGTAACCATGATTCCTGGGATTTGGTGTTGAGGAGGCAATTCAGCTAAGCTGATTTGTAATAGGCAGACATTTCTGAGGTAAATATGGCTTAAAGAAGAATCACCATGTGAAGTTCATCAATGGAACACCTGATCTTAATGTAAGACCCTAAGAAATTAATAATCTAGCTGAGGTTTCATTCTTTTTCTGTCTGTTTTGATTTAGCGTGATCCCTTATGAACGGAGAGTATTAACCATACTGCAGTGGCTAGCTATGGCAGACACTGAAAGGTTGGTCTTTTCTCTGGCTCCTCCCTTACTTTCATAACAATGCAATGACTGTGTAATTGATACCTTTGGTAGAAATTGAATTTTGATGAGACATATATGTTTGCTTGATGAGCTAATGATGTATATGTTGTACTGGGGAAATTTAATTACATGGGTTGAAACTGTTGATATATTGGTTTTCCATTGTTCCTATTTAGAGTAATAATCTAAGAATTGGGCAGTTATCAAGATTTTTTTAATTGGGTAATTGAGAATACATGGCATCATATTTTGCTCTGAGGGAAGAGTCCAAGAAGGAACAATTATAGCCTTTTCCCATCTTTTAAAGATAATTATTAAATGTTTTCCCAAGAGCTTGTGCCTCTTTTGGCATACTTTCTAATGTTTTAATGAAGTTACAAAATAGAACACTAAATTGTTTCATCACTGGAAAATATATGAAGTGGCAACTTTTTGATTCTTTGTTTTTGTTTTTTCCATAAACAAGAGTGTATACAAGGTCAGAACCCTGCCTGAACTTGCTCCCATTCTGCCACGATAACCCAGCTTTGCCTCATCCCAGCAAAGTGAAAAGGAAAGGGAAAGTCCTGAATGCTCCTGGGGGTTGGGAAACTACCATCCAGGCAAGAAGGAGGGATCAAGTGGGGACATAGCCTAGAGTCATTGCTCAGCCGCAAGAGACCTAGTGCTAATTCCTATTAAATTCTATGGAACTTTATCTGTTTGTTCCCAGGGAAGGGCAGGGAATCTGGGGAGTTTCTTGTATTATATATACAATACAATAAAGTAGTCAACCTTCTATAGAAGACCTGTTATATTGTGTGGGTCAGAAGGAGGACTCTGTAGCCCCCTCACATTTTGGATATAAACAGTTTCAACTCCTTCCCTTGGGATGGCGCTATAGCAATAGCACTTAGACTTATATACCGCTTTGCAGTGCTTTACAGCCCTCTCTAAGCAGTTTACAGAGTCCGCGTATTGCCCCCAACAATCTGGGTCCTCATTTTACTCACCTCGGAAGGATGGAAGGCTGAGTCAACCTTGAGCCTGGTGAGTTTCGAACTGCCAAATTGCAGGCAGCTGGCTACAGCAGAAGTAGCTTGCAGTACTGCACTCTAACCACTGTGCCACCGTGGCTCTATAGGGCATTATATGCCACAACAACTAGACACAGGGACAGTTTTTTCCCTTATGCCATCACTCTGCTGAACTCCTAATTCTCACAGTGCTGACTAATGTCTATGGATACTTACCCATTTAGTGTGGCTGTAGTATTATTATTTATCCTACTTATTATCTTCTTTACTCCTCTCTTTTATTGGTATTATTATTCTGTTGCTTTGCATGTACACTGAGAGTTTCTGTACCAGAGAAACAAATTCCGTGTGTGTCTAATCACAATTGGCCAAATAAAGCATTCAACTCAATTTGAACTCATTACATGTGGATCTGGTTGCTTGCATCTTAACTCCTGAGGAGAGATTACTGTCAGAAGCATCTCTGGTTCTGTTTCAGCAAGTTGACAGGAGACTTCTGCAAGCAAAGCCTGGAGCAAGTATTTAGTGGGCTCCAGCTTTGCATGTACAAACCTCACAGTTTGTATCCTAAAAGTTCTTAGAATTCTGTCAGGGCAGACTGATAGTAGAGTCAGGATTTCCTAAAACTAATGCTGAATATTGATCCAGTAGAGCAGGGGTGTCAAACTCAGGGACCTAGAGCCAGATCCGGCCCACAGGGTGCTTAGATCTGGACCGTGGGGCTGCCCTGGAAACAGTGAAGGACCAACTAGCAGTGCCTCTGCCAGAGAAAACGGAGCTCAGGAGGGCTCCATTTTCGCTGGCAGAGGGTCGCAGGAGGCTGTCGCTGCCGAAAACGGAGCTCGGGAGCCCGTTTTCTCTGGCAGAGCATTCGGGCCACCACAGGCGTGCGACACGATTGACATTGAGCTGGGCTACGCCCACTCTGGCCATGCCCATCTTGGCCCCCTGTGTCAAACACAACCCTGATGCAGTTCTCAATGAAACCGAGTTTGACATCCCTGCAGTAGAGAGTGTCATAAAAACCCAGAGATCTCATAAACCCCAACCAGACACCCTCAGAGTCATGCAAAATCAAGCAAGCTTATCCTCATAATTGGAACTGTTATTGTTAATTTCCAGCCAACAGGCTTCGTTTACCTTTGTTGCAAGTTTTCAGCAATATTTTACTGGATATATGGATTTTATTTTTTATTTCTTCACCATCTCTAAATACAATGAAACCATTCATTTTATTCAGAGGGACAGGGTGAATGAATTTATCACTTTAGGGGATCGCAGTATTGGAAAGTGAGAATTGCATGCTAAATAAAACTTGCTGATGTCTGCCTTTCTTTTCAGGCCTTATGCATATGCATTCTATTCTGACCAACCAGATATGGCTGGCCACCGATATGGTCCATTTAATTCTGAGGTTAGTACAGTTCATCTTTGCCCATAAGTGGAATGCAAATCTGATACCTGGTTTTGCCATATTCACATGAACCTGTATTGCTAGTCCTGAGTCAACTGGTTTAAAGCTAGTTAATTGTTCCCCTCCATAAGCCTCCAAAGGAAATAGGACCAGCTGAAAAATATAGACACTACATTTATAGAGAGTATTAAACTGTTAATAACATTATCCATCCGCTTAAAGTTTCAGGGACTGGCGATCTGTGTCTCTGTATGTGTGGCTGTGTATATGTATGTATTGACAGAGCTAGGATTTGCAGGTCTACTCTTAGATATAATCAAGGTTGACTAATTTTTTTTTAAAGCATTGTGGTGTGAAAGGAGCATTTTTTCCACGTTTTGTAACAATTCAGTAATTTCACACAAATTGTTTATGCCACATTTGCTTTCTGCATGATGTGCTCAGTCAAGAGGCTTATTTAACTTCAGCCTTTAGTCAATGATGTTGGCCACTAGGGTAGAAATAAGGATAATACAAAGCAGAGTTTCTCAACTTCAGCAACTTAAAAACAGGTGGACTTCAACTCCCAGAATTCTCCATGCTGACTGAAATCCGCCTATCTTAACATTGCTGAAATCGAGAAATGTTGCTTTAAAGCATAGAAGGAAGATTGCATGATCACTAAATGGGCTGTGTGGAATCTCCCTCCAGTTAAAATCCATAGATGTAATCAAACCACTTGAGTGACTGAGGCCCAATTATACATTATGTTGATCCTGTACTTTGGCCTTGAAATCTAGGGCAGAGACCTAATTCACGCTGAACTCTGGCACTGGCTTTGGGGCAAGGAATTCTCTGAAACCGTAATACTGTCTTCCTTTTCCTTCCCCGTGAATCCAGGGCCAATGTGAAGTTTGAGAAAAAAACTTTTCCAAGTTCCAAGCACAGAGGTTAATTATTCTGTTACCTCACGTCCTAATAAAGTGCTGTTCCACAGGGAAGATCTACACAGTTAACCTTTGATCATAGACTCTGAGGGAATATTCTCCCAGCCACATAAGAACTGCTTAAACAAACAGCTCCAACAGGGTTGGGAGAACGTGGAAAGAATAGATCAGTGTTGGGTTGTGGCTCCAGGCTGAGATTGCTAAACTGGTGGATCCCTGCCACCATTGAAAACAATTTTATGCCTCTGCTGATGGGCCTATTAAGGTTAATCAGAGTGTGGCAAGCGTTTTATCCACAGTTTCACTCTTGGATAAAGAAATGGCTTTTAAGAAGTCTATATCTGAGGACAAGGAGAGGATTGATTTCTTCAGCAACGCGATTCAAAAATCTTAATGTAATTATATTATTTAAATCCAAGTTTCCTGATTTTATTCCAAGACTGTAGAACATTTACGGCACAACACCCTTCTTCAGATCTGTACTCTGCAGATGTATTGGATGTCAGCTTCTGCTCTTTCCTGGCCACTACGGTTATTGATAGCCCTTGAGGGATCTATCTCTTATATCTTTGGCTCTTGGGAGTCCCCAGCTGGTTATTGCAACACTCGATTCTGCAGCTCTCAGTATATTTTGGGAGTCCAGAACCAAAATAATAGTGCTAAATTTAGAGCTGGAATTGGCTACAGGCCTCATTCTCAATGTTGTAGAAGAGTCATCTTGCTGTAGAGGTCATCTCCACCCTTTTTGAGCATCAGCCTTGGAGATGGGGACAGTAAATTCTCCTCCCAAGGTGCAGATTTGTGAAAACAAGTTTTGGCTTTTGCAACTTATTTTATTTGGCAGTGAAGTCCAGCTGCAGTCTATCAAGCCCTGCTTTGATTAGTCCCAAATTAGATTATTCCCTGCAATTGGTATCATAGTGACTGAAGGTCAGATAAGAATCAGAAGCAACATGGAACAGTTGCAATTATTTGTTTGGGGCAGAGATAAAGGTACATAATTCCCTTCCCCTCACTGAAGTGTTCAGCCCTCAACTCATAAAGCTGTTGTTTCCCTTGAGAGAAAATGGAGAAGAGACATATGTAGGGGGCATGCATAAGCGCACCAATGTGCCTACCATCCCTGTCCTATTGTTTCTTTTATTTTTCTTATATGTATCCATTTCACGTTTCATAACTATGTTTATTCTTATACCTATTATCTTGTAAGTGATTGACAAATCAAATTAAATAAATATTCACCTCGTATATCACAATAGGTTTGGCTTCAAGTTTCTTTATGAACCTTTATAGAAATTAGCCTTTCTGTGGAAATTGCACAGATGTTCTGATTTACATCTGGACATGATTCTTTGAAAGAATATAAGGAACTGTAAATATATCAGGAAACTCTTAGCAGAAAGAGGGGAAAAAAACTCAGGTAGTCCGGGAACAAAACAATATCGCTAAATTTAGAGCTGGAATTGTCTATAGACCTCATCCTCGCTGTTGCGGAAGTGTCCTCCTACTGTGGAGATCATCTCGACCCTTTTCAAGCATCAATAATATTGTCATTTGACAATCAAAAGCAATTATTTCCTCTTTCCTAACCCTATTCCACCTATTTGTTTTGAGCTGGCAAAACGTTATTAGAAGTTAAGATGCTTAATCAATAGAACTGGGAAACAAATTTTAGAAGACTCCAACTCCCAATTCCTTAAATAATTATTTTTGTACCCAATTGAGGTCATATTAATTGATTATGACCCCTAAAATTTCTCCTGATGTGAAAAATCTCTTGTAATGTGAAAGCAAGCTAAAATAGCATCTATATTAGGTTAAAATGGTAATTATGAAATATTTTACAATTTTCAATGTGTTTTTATATTTTTATTAGTTTAGGAACTGTATAAATACTGTAACCATGTTGTGAACTCGAAGCGTAGTCATATCATAGTTAACATGAGTTTTTTTTACTGCATCACTATAGAAGTTCAGATTATTAGGGTATAAGTTATTAGGATTATTATTAATAGGCAGAGGAAAATATACACAAGGCTTTAAAAGTCCATTACAGGTTAAATTTTAGAGTGATTTGGGTGTTAAGATGAAGAAATGCCACCTATCCAGAATTGTAGGTGAAGAAGATCGCATGTAATTATTGCTAGGATGGTTACTACTGTGTGTGTATGTGCATTGTGGGTATAGTTTCAGGATATGGCTTGTAGCAATGTTTTGTTTGTATTTTGCTATCTATATGTTCTTAATGGTTACCTTTGATGGTGTTTATAGCAGGAATCTTAAACCATAAATTTCAAATGAAATAAATGTAATCTTCACTTGAAAAATTATCATCTGCAGAAGATTGTCATCTGCAGAATGCATTTACCCTCTAATCCTTTTTTTTTTAAAAAAATGCTGTAACAAGGGCAACCACAACAAAACAGTACCCCTCATCCCCCACGAAAAATTAGGCTGGTTAAAAGAGTTGTCCTCCACATATTGCCAGACAAGAAATGTTGCGAAGACAGTTGATGAGGTTTGGGGTTCAGTAATATATGGAGATCCACAGGTCCTCACTCTTGCCTCAGAAGATAATTTACAAAGTCATTCCAAGAGGACCAATAAAGGAGAATATTTGTAGCTCAGGGTTGAAACATGGGGTCCTTTGGTGTTCTCTGAGCTTGGTTGTTTCCTTACAGGCGTTTCACTACCCAAACCAGACTAGCACTGATGATGTTACTTGGTTTGGGTAATAAGACGTCTGGGGGAAAACAACCAAGCTCAAGAGACCGAGAGGGACCCTCCATTCCAAGAGGAATGTAAAGTAGAATTAACATGGCTGCAAGATTAGCTTTGATTTTAATAGACAATGATACTGACTTCTCAACTTAGTCTTGGCCATGCTGATTGGAGTTAATGAAGTCCAGTGGCCTGGGCCAGGCTCCAGGTTGGCCAACTAAGTCAAAATGTTGAATATGAGAGTTTCTTTTCCCTTCTGACCTCCTTAGTAATGAGTTGTGCCTCCCTACTGAGATCAAGCTTTGAAGTTTGATCTCTTCTGTTTATATTTAGTATTCAGCTAAGTGTACTGCACTGACTCACAAGGAGAGCACTTTCTACATGATAGGCTGACTTCCGTTGGTAAATTGATTTACTTGGGCAGCTTATCCCCATCCCCCTTAATCCAGAGGTATTCTAGTCAGTTTCCCTAGAAATGCTTTACTGCTAAACTCAAGGTGGAGGTTGATGATGCAAGGAACTTTTAGACCCATTTTTGATCTATCAGCTTGCAACTTCAGCCAGTCAATTGATTAAGTAGGAATCTGTATGTGGGTAGTAAAGTCAAAGTAGGTTTTGTAGAGTCTGGATCCCAATAATGACAGCTAATGCACAAAGATCTGGGATCGGTCTTCCTTTTTTTCTTCTTAATGTAACTCAACTAGTCATTGGATACGAGATGGGCATCAAATAAATTTCATAATAAATAACAGTGGGGCAAACAGTTTTAAAATATCCAGTCATGGTTCTCTGGCCTCATATCTACTTTTTGTTTTTGTGTTTTTAGCCCAGTCCCTTGGAAAATCCTCTGTCTGACAAACATTGCACATTCACCCATTATATCTTAGTGTATAATGTCCTATTTGGAGACATTTTGTTTCAAGTACAAGTATTTGGCTAGTTCTTTCAGTTCTAGGTGTGTCATCATCCTCAGCTTTTATTGATCTCATTCTTCCAACGTAAAGCTAAGATCTGGCTGATTAATACAGTTTTGGCTTTCTTCCTAGCTTTAATTTCTTAAGAAAGAGAAGCTATCCCTTTTGTGAATGTTTTGTACCAATGCTGTTTACCCATGATCAGTGACTTGGACTTAAGGACTGCTCTGCTGCTCTTCTAACATGCTGCCCTGGAATGGGGGTTCTTATTATTAGACCCACTTGATGGCATAAGTTAAAACTCTGGCTGCGCTTCTCTTGGAAAGAGTGAGTAAACTCTTGAGAATCCTTCCTCCAACTGCTGCTGCTTTCATCAAGGCTGCACGAAGCTTGAACTCTTCTCTTCTTTTTCTTTTTTCTTCTCCTGTTCTGTTTTTTTTTTTTTAAAGAAAACTGAAGCTGCTTTCTGGAGAGAGAGAGAGAGAGAGACAAATGGAACTGGATTAGCATTTCCTTTCCAACTGTTTATCCAAGAGCAAAGAAACAGCATGGCAGATGGTAATACTGGTTTTTTTTAAAAAAAATATTATTATCTTCCAAGAACATGGCTCTGCGATTGGAACAGCAAAGATGGAGAATGGCTATGCAGATAGGAGCAAACGGCCTTGTAAATCCTTGCCAATTTTCAACTTCCCTTTTCTTCGCTTCTTTTTTCTCCATTTTTTTTTTAAATAAACAAGCTGCATTATCTTTCTGTATGTGTTTGTTATCTTTCTCTGTTCGGAGAATCTGATCCTAAAAGTTGCCAAGAACTCTCATTGTAGCTGTCAATTGGAGTTGCATGCAAAGTCGCTTCTTTTTAAGATCAGTTTGAACAGCATCCAGCATCTCTGCACTGCTTGGGACTGCAGCTCTGTTGTTTTCAGACGATTTCTCCTCTTCTTAATACATGGTTCATTCATATCTTTCCCCCCCTTAGTTTTTTTAAAGCCTTTCCTCACATGTCACAGTACAATAATCGTGGAAAACATATAGCTAAATCTAAGGATATCCTATAATACAAGGGGCAAATGCAGAGTGTGTTTGCTCAGTGTTCCCTCTCCCCTCCCATGAAAGATCAAAATGAATGACAGGTCAATACTTATGCCTTCCGCATTATCCAGTTAATAATGCCATGCCTTCTTGGAGGTCTTTAAAAAACTGGGCATGCCTCCAGTTGCATGGAGTTGATAGTGACTGGGAATTCAACAATAGAAAAAATATTGTATGAACAATTTTAATTTATTCTCTCCAGCAAAAGAGAATTGGAATCTTACTGTTATTTAAATAGTGAAGCATTGATAAGTTAGTACAATTTAAAACATAAGTATGTTGGATGTCCAGTAATAGCAGTAGCTACTACTGATGCTTTCTTTCTCTTGATAAACATGAAAAGAGTATTTCGCCCACCCAACAAACAAACAAACCAGACATCCTCTTCAGAGTGTTGTTTCCCACAGACCCCAGGACTATTAAATTCTAATTAAATTAAATTCTTCTTTTCAACCTTGACCTTGACTTGACCATAAACCCAGTATTAAATGGTTTGAACCAAGAATTTTGGTATACCGTGTCCTAGAGGCGGCTAGTTTTTAACAATCTGATGTTGAGATGAGCTTTTTCTGAGTCCAAGCATCTCTCTCCGTCAGTACAGGAGAGTAGTTTTGGGTCTCCTCTTACTCCATCTAAAAGACCTAAAAGAAAAATCAGTACTAAGAGGATTCAGAAAAGACGTATTGCTCCTTCCAAGAGAAGACGAAAAGTACCTAGAATGGAACACTTGTCTGCGGAATCCCGTCGGAACAAAGTAAGTTTTCAAACCTGGTACATATCAACTGCTGAGACTCTTAAACAACTTGATTATTTTTTGTCCTCCCAACTTTGGGATGAACTTCTTCCAAATCAAACTTTCAGTGCAGCCATCTTGAAAGGCAACAACCACAGATTGCCATCAAGAAGTTGGGTTCAATTGATGTTTACCTTTTCCTTCTTCCCACTCTTCTTTGGGCAGCATTCTCTGTCTCTTGGTGCAATCTTTAAATCCTTCTTAACTATTGTTTTTAAATAACACAGGATTCAGGTGCAAAAAATCCATTTAGACTGTTCCACCCACAGGTAGATAATATTGGATTGGCCTGTAGAATCATGCTTATTGTCACCCTCCTTACAGTTATTTTTTTTTTCCAGCCAAAATGAATTTCTTAGAACTGATTATTTGGCTCTCTAGAAAGTTCTATTTGTAAAATTTGCAATGGGTTGAAGAAATTTGTGAATGCTCCAACACTGGAAGTTTTAAAGAATAGATTGGACAACCATTTGTCTGAAATGATATAGGGTTTCTTGCCTGAGCAGGAGGTTGGACTAGAAGACCTTCAAAGTCCCCTCCAACTCTGTTGTTCTGTTAAATTTTGCCAGGTTACTCCTGTTCACAACATGACATGACATCATTGGTTTCCTTTAGCGGGAGACATCAAATAAAGCCTGGTTCATAAGAATTGGTCTGTGATCCTTTCTTATTTCTTGACCGATAACTGTATGGTATCAAATTTTTCCAATGCTGGAGGATGCTTGAAGCTTTATGAATATTTTGAAGCAATGAATACCAGTAAGTTCAAAGGAAATTTATTTGAGGCTGCTATCTATTTGGACACTCATACTCAGTGATCAAGTTGAATGAAAATATGATTGTAAGGAAGTCCTGTATCTATAAGGTGTCTTCATGCTGTATATAGAATCTGTATGGGACATGGATATGGCTTAAACATAGATTAAGAGCATGAAAAGTTGACCAAGTGAACCTATAGCAATGGATTCAAGTTGGTGTTTGAGTGTATGAAATGTCTCTTCAAACTTTCGTGATGAATTTGGACATAGGATGTAAATGGGATGTGCTATCCTTTTTATCTTAGGAATGCCATAATATCATCATCAAAGACAAATCTTCCCTTAAAATTAGCAAATGAGAGCTATCCAAAGCACTCAGTTGGGATTCAGGAATGTGCTCTGTAATGAATACTGGCGTTCTCACATTGAAAGGGAAGAGAGAATGGAAAGAAGCTTTTCCTGTGTCATGCTTTATATATAAATCATGTCCAGCTGCATTCATTCTTAAATAAAGGACTCCTCAACTTTGTTTAAAAAAAAAATCATTCACTGAGTGAGGTCCATAAAACCTGCAGGTTACATGGATTCCCATCTTCTAGCTTGTTAAAATAAATGTACTCTTAGAAATTAAGATTGGAAAACTATTATCCAAGAACTTCATGAGCTGAAGTGACCCATCTCTCTCTTTTAAAATTATCTTGGTTCTATGCTTGATTCTTTATTTTAGAACATGACTTCTAGAGACGAGCTTATGCTCAAAATTGATACAGCATAAGTGTGATATTTTTTAACACCAGAAGACCCACGGGTGCACATTACAATATAACTAAGCTTGTTAGAATTTCTTCAAGTTTGCTTAACTCTTTAAGATGAATGATTTCTCATATTATGAGTTGGAGTCTACATTACAGGTTTTATGGAAAATCTTAATCTGTTCTTTATTTCTTTATTAGTACTGATCATGCTGTTTTGAATATAAGATACACCAAATATGTTAATATTCTCATAATTCTCATGATAATAATATAATGAAAGAGAATAAATACCTGAAAAATAGAAACTATAAATCATCTCCAAACTTCACTTACCCAGAGGGATGAGTCAGAATATCTCTGAAAACAGCTGCTAAGGAATAATGTGGATGAATTTATTGTTATCAAGTCTTCTTTTTCCCCAAAAAAACTTCTGGTTAGTCATTCGAGAACCATAATTCTGGACTATATTGGTATTTGATGCAAAGCAGTGCTTCAGAGAGATTAATAGAATAGAATACAGTATAATACAACTGATATAATTATAGCAGTTTATGTAAACATACCATCAAAGGAAAGGGCGGTCTGATAGTGTAAAACTTGTAATGATAGTTTTAAAAAGAAGGTTAATTCTCCCTCTTTGTGTAAATATGTGTGTATATATAGATGTTAGGTCCACTAAGAGATATTGACAAGATCCTTGGGCAACTAATGGATGGATTAAAGCAGCTGAACTTACACCGATGTGCCAACATTATCTTCGTGGGTGATCATGGTAATTAAAAAAGTTTCCCTTGGTTTTGATATAGAAAAGTCTTCATTTCTACTGGAAGGCACTTTATTAATCTGTTAAATTGAGCATCTGTGGAGATTCTCAGCCATCCAGGTCCTGGTTGTCCCAAAAGTGCTTTTTCAAGAGGCAACTGGAGTTTCTTTGTTTTTCCTTGAAGATGTTTCCTTGAAGACGGATGAGAACGAAACATCTTCGAGGCAAAACACAGAAAGTCCAGTTGCCTCTTGAAAAAGCTCCTTTGAGGCTATTAAGCCAAACTGTATTTGAACTGAAATTGTGTTTAGATGTAGAAATTATTATGTGCCAGCACATAGTATGTGATCAGCCTAAGATAAGGTACAAAGTTTTTAGAACAGATTGATTGTGAATGGATTTCTGAACAGCTAAATCATAATGCAGACTTTGGGTTTTTAAAAATTCAAAAATAGTTTTAGCTGATTATAAAGAGGCTTGATGATCTCTTATAATTTTATTCTCTAATTCACATTTTTGACTAGCACAACGGCTAACTTGGTAAGACTTCTTGGCTGCTGTTCAGAACTTCAGGGGTTAGAATCCTTTTCTTATTGCTACTTAGACTATACTTGTGGGAATACTTTAATCTTTAAAACTTAATCCAGTGCATTAATGTTTTTTAATTGCTGAAATGGCAGTCATCATCTTTTCAGCATCATTTAAATTTGTGGAAGTTATTTCTGGGTTAAACAACAAGCTTAGACTAATACATGCATAACCAGATTCCATTTTAAAGATTTTTTTCTCTGATTTCTCACCATTTAAAAAAATTGTTACTATAAATTTGTAAAATCTAAAGGATCACACTCTTCTAACATAAAAGGAAGTATCTTGGGAGAATCCACAAAATACTTTTGGTTAGGTTGTAGACCAAATACCATGAACAATATGTCTTTTAAAGCTGAAAGAGACTTAAATGTACCTCATTAATTAACATTTGAATAGCAAATGTCTATGCATACTTCTTTCAATAATGCAATGGTACTGCTTATTTGTAGGAATGGAAGATGTTACTTGTGAAAGAACTGAATATTTGAGCAACTATCTATCTAACGTGGATGACATAACTTTGATACCTGGAACTCTAGGGCGTATTCGTGCCAAAGCTAATAGTAATGTTAAATGTAAGTTTACCTTTCTGCATTCACCCTGTAGCTTGAAATGTGTCCATTTTCTTCTGTGCTGTCTCTGACTCTGTGTGTGGTGGCAAGGAACATATTTATAAAGGTGCATCCACCTTCAGAGAGACACAGCTACTGTTTAGAAAGACAATTGTTCTTTTACATGATTGATAAGTTGGGTAAATTTACCTAATTGATAAGACTGGTTGTTAAATAGAGCCAGATATTTGAAAATATCTGAGATCTAAAAAAAATTACTTCACAATAAATTAAATCCTGAGAGATATGAGCCGAGAGAAATTAGCTGGTGCATTTCTACAAATGTTTGCAAACAAAATTGTGTAGGTTCCACTGGGAGAAAAAAAAAATCAAAACTTGTAGTTTAGTTTAATGCAGCTAATTACCTATGAACATTCATGTGTTGAAAACTCAGCTATTGGCATATTTTTTACTTTTCTTTCTCTTTCTGTTTAAAATCTCCACATCCATGTAACAGTTGACCCCAAAGCCATTGTGGCCAATCTCACAGTAAGTATCTCCTAAGTACCCTTCTCCTTCCTAGAGCACAATTTTTAAACTGCTCTGAATAATTGGGTTTATTAATTAGGAGTGGTGGGTGGCCTAGAAGTGGAGCTCTTGCCTCACAATCCGGAGGCTGTGAGTTCAATCCTAGCTAGAGGCAGATATTTCTCTCTCTGGGCACAATGAGAATATTTCTGCTGAAGAAAACTCCACATTGGTGATAGGAAGGATATCCGGCCATTAAACACTCTGTTTGCTCCATTCAGTTGCCTATACTCCATCCTGCAAGGGATTATGAGGTTGTTGAAAGAAAGAAAGAAAGAAAGAAAGAAAGAAAGAAAGAAAGAAAGAAGAAAGAAAGAAAGAAAGAAAGAAAAAAAATAAAAGTTGGGTTTATTAATTTGGGTGTGGCTTTAAGTAAAGATTCAGAGTGTTCTCAGAGGAATTCTCATAAGCGTAGATTCCACGGAGAAAGTTGTATAATGGTTGTGGAGGTTCTAACCATGTTTTGCAGAACTGGGCTGTGGCACTGCAGAATATCCACTAATATTAACAGTTTTAATTCCCAACGTTTTCACTGGAGAGAGGGAAACTAAATTAAATGATGGATAAAAGCTAGTTTGGAGCTCCTGATGCTAGGATACAAGATAGATCAGGGCTGTCAAACTCAGTGCCTGTGGGCTGGATCCAGTCCACTGGGTGCTAAGGATTGGCCCGCGGAGGCCACTCTGGAAACAGCAAAGGACCGGCCCACAGGGCCTCTGCCAGTGAATACGGAGCTCGGAGAGGCTGTGCGTGGCCCACCCAGGCTCCGTGTTCAGCCATGACAGACTCCTGCAGCCCTTTGCCAGCAAAAACAGAGCCCAGCAGACTGTGTGTGGCCTCCCTGAGCTCCGTTTTTGCTGGCAGAGGTCTACAGGTAGCCATTGCGGCCAAAAATGGAGCTTCAATGAGTGATTGAGCTGGCCACACCCATCCTCCCCACCCCCACCCCGGCCCCTGATGTGGCCCTCAATGAAATTGAGTTTGACATCCCTGAGATAGATCAATGAACCATTTGGTCTTGATCACATCTGGGCCAGTGGTGGGATTCAGCCAGTTCGCACCACTTCGGGAGAACCGGTTGTTAACTGGTTGTTGGAAGAAATCATTAGGGCAGACAACCGGTTGTTAAATTATTGGAATCCCACCACTGATCTGGGCTTTTTATGGCCTCCAGGCTACATCCAGTCCTTTGTACATCCCTGCCAAACCCACATAAGGTCAATTGGAAGTTTTAAATCAAATGCAAATAAGTGTACATAAAACTACATTGCTTTTAATTTTCTTTTCCAATTTACATATGCATGTGCGTGCTTGCATGCCTATACACTTTCACAACCTTGTTGGTTTTGACCGTTCCATAACAATTCCAGTTTCTCATTTTCTCTTGGGAAAATTAATTGCCCTGCCCTGGTCTTGATTGATTGATTATGGACTGTCAACTCAATGTCAACTCTTCATGGCCACATAGATAGATTTTCTCCAGGTTGCAGTCTTACCGCTGGTCTTACAATATCTACAAAACGGGGGCTGCTTATCCTCACTAAACAGTTATTTTTTCCAGTTAGCAAGTAGGGTGGTCAATGTCTTGCACAACCCTTTTCTGAGCATGCTTCCTTTGTTTCAGTGCAAGAAGCCAGACCAACATTTCAAACCTTACCTGAAGCAACATCTTCCCAAGCGTTTGCATTATGCAAATAACCGAAGAATCGAAGATATTCATTTGTTGGTGGAAAGAAGATGGCATGTAGCCAAGTAAATACAAATTTTCTTGTCCTTTTGATTTGCTGTAGATCTCTCACTTAACCAAATATGTCATCTGCAAACTCTCTTAACTGATTAGTTCAATGTGATTTTGGGCCTCTGTTAAGAAATCAGCTGTGATATGACACTTCTGCACTCAATCTGTATGGATTATTTTTTTATATTTTGGTAAGACTTTGGCTAAAAAACATAATAAGAGCAACATGGATTCCTTATTTCATAGTGTATTTTGAGTTAAGCAACTATAACATTCTAACATAATTTAGGTGACCAGACTTCCTACTGTTCATAGCGTCTTTATTTTACAAAAACATTTTTAGGTAGCAGACCATAGACAATAGCCAACTTGGAGGCCAGATTTAGCCTGTAAAGCAGTATTTTCCAGCCATTGAAAGCTCACTAGGTTTAAGTCAAGATGTACTAAAATGTTCTTATCTTTTAAGAAAAAAAATAACACTGCTTTTAGAATTTCTATGAGAGATTTCTCTCTCTCTCTAATGCACCTTATAAATAAAATGCTCCTATGATATGCATATCGACTGACACTAATCTTCTGACAGAAGTTGATGGTAGCACATAATATATGCCATCAAAATGGGTTGAACTATGTGGAACATGCATCATGACGCAATGGTCATTAATTATAATCACATAATTAATCATGTATTTTCCAGCTGCTGAGATGCAGCTACATAGAGGCAAGGTTTGTACAATGGTATTACTGTGTGTGTGTTGTTATTTTTGTGTCATTGTGGCTTGCTGAAAATGCTGCTCTCTTCAACCACCATTTGGGAAAGCAAACAAAAGTTCCTTGTTTCTTTAGAGATTTGTGGATCAGCTATATTTTCTTCAATCCACTGGAAGTTGAACCTTAATGTTTATAGAAATTAACTGATGGTACATTCAAGAATCTTCGTAATGTTTTTAGGAGGCCTGGAGATGTGTTTAAGAAAATAACCGGGAAGTGCTATTTTCATGGAGATCATGGCTATGACAATAAGATCAACAGTATGCAGGTAGGGGCAGTAAACTAATTGGAGTAGTCAGTAAGCAGTATTGTTGGTATATGTAACTTACAGCAACTTACAAATGTATTTTTTAATTAGAAGGCTCATTTCTTCAGTCTTCTTACTGCATTATAGCGAGAAAACATCTTAAAGATCATTATTGCAGCTTATTTTATTCATCTTTGGATATTCCAGGTGGTTTATACCAAAATGTTTTAGAATGAAACCATAATAAAATATAAATCAGGAAAATATAAAATATAAAACAGGAAAAAAACTCAAAAACAAAAACAAAACGCCAAGAACAAAAGCAAGACCATGAGAGTAATAATGGAATAATGGATGGAAATTGATCAAGGAGAGATTCAACCTAGAAATGAGGAGAAATTTTCTGACAGTGAAAACAATCAACCAATGGAACAGAAGTTGCCTTCGGAAGTTATGGGAGCTTCATCACTGGAGGCTTTCAAGAAGAGATTGGATTGCCATTTGTCAGAAATGGTGTAGGGTCTCCTGCTTGGGCGGGCGTTTGGACTAGATGACCTACAAGATCCTTTCCAACTCTGTTAATCTGTAAACTGTAGAAGAAGAGAATTATTTGTAGCTCAGGGTTGAACTGTGGAGTCCTTGGTACTCTCTGAGGTTGGATGGTTTCTTGCAGATGTTTCATTACCAAACTAGTGGAGCTATGTTGCTACCTAGCTTGGTAATGATACAGCTGCAAGAAAATAACAAAGCTCAGAGAGTACCAAGGACCCCACAGCAAGATCACAACTTATATTTCGAAAGAACTCTTAACACAAAATTGCTCTCGTGACAGAAAATTGGGAACAGTGAGCTGATTCAGCAAATCTTGTAAAAAGAGAACCAAAAAGCATGTTTTGAACATTAAAAAAGGGCTAATTCTTGGAGGGTCTTTACTTTGGTCTTGATTTGTTTTATTTCAGCAACAGAAAAGCTCACATAGGAGCTGACAACATTAATATTACTGTTTTTTCTCTGTTAGACCGTCTTTCTAGGCTATGGCCCTTCATTTAAATACAAAACAAAAGTACCTCCATTTGAAAATATTGAACTGTACAACCTTATGTGCGGTAAGTAAATTTAAAATAAACAGTATATTTGATTTCTTTTCTCAATTTTCATTTTGGCTAATATCTTATGATTCATTTACCTTCCTTCTGTAGCAAGCTATCTAAATGGAAGGACCAAACCCTACATTTATTTCCTGCCTATGCAATCCTTGTTTCGTGACCATAATTATGATTGACAACTCTGTTGTTAAGTGAAGCAATCGCTAAGTAAAACCGTGACTGTGCTGATGACCTTATTTCGGCTTTCCTTTGCTTTACAGACCTGCCTGCAAATATTGTAAATGTTTGGTTATCAAGTTACTTTTTCATCACTTTGTAATTTCAAAAAATTGCTAAATAAGACAATTGCTAAACAATAACAGCACTTAGATTTATATACCACTTCACAGTGCTTTACAACCCTCTCTAAGTGGTTTACAGAGTCAGCCTCTTGCCCCCAACAATCTGGGTCCTCATTTTACCGACCTTGGAAGAATGGAATGCTGAGCCAATCTTGAGCCTGGTGAGGTTCGAACTGCCGAACTGCTGCAATCGGCAGTCAACCAATGAAGTAGCCTGCAATTCAAGATTACCTGAAGTTGCTGAGAGCCTTTGAGGGGAATTGAATAACAAATTAAATGCAGAAAATTATTTCTGCATTAATCTTCAGACATTAATTTCTCCATGGGAGAAATGGGGCTTCTGCTGTAAGTCCAGTAATTTGAAGTGTTAGCAAAACATACCAAATTGAACATAATGAGCCTTATTTCAACTGTAAACTTGGTTCTTACAAATGGTTTCATATTTTGGATGTTAAGGCGGAGTATATTAAAACTTTTGGAAATGATAGTAAATCTAAACCTCCCTTCAAACTTGCCATTAACCATTAGCCACCTAAACTCACCCCAAACAGCAAGGTGGGCAGTCTAGAAATTTAATAAATAAATCCAGTTTTCTAGTCTAGGAGACTTTTACCATCCTACCACTTCAAAGACCTTTGACTTCTGTATACCAGAAAGACCTATTGGACAAACTCATTTATATAAAATTTAAATTCTCTGCAAGGATTCAGAGTTTAGATATGTTAGGCAACCTTGCCTACCCTCACCTCATACTCTTGTACTGGTGTTTACATATGCATAAAATTCTCCACTCATACAGTATGTATGACAGATGCTACTTTTAATCCTGTTCCAGATCTCCTTGGTTTGAAGCCTGCTCCCAATAATGGGACACATGGAAGCTTAAATCACCTCCTTCGGAGCAGTACCTACAGACCCATCATGCCTGAGGAAGTAGCAAGGCCACTCCATCCAGTAGCTACAACACCTTCATCTGACTACGATCTGGGGTGCAGTTGTGACGATAAGGTAAATTCACGATATTCACTGGAAGCAGGAAGCTCAGAAGGCGATTGATTCTAAACCTGCTAGGAAGAAATGAATTCTATTGATCCTGAGCCGTGTTTCTCACCCTTAGCAACTTTAAGACATGTGGACTTCAACTACCAGAATTGGAGAAAAATATCTATCTTTCCTTGCCGATAGTAAGAATGAAGCATCATTTAAAAACAATGCCAAATTCAAAGTTGGCCTCTGAATGAATGTTTCTTAAGAGCGCATTATCGCTGATTATATGGTCAAACATGAAGATTATCTCTGTGGGGTCTTGGGTTGTTTTCTTGCAGACATTTCATTACCAAACTAGGCAATACCATCAGTGCTAAAAGGGAGTGGGGTTTGCTCTCTTTTTATATACAAGTGGCTTGTCCTGTCAATGTTGGTGGGAATGTCCTTGGCGATTCCTTGATTAGGTTGTTTATGGATAGCTTGTTTGTCTGTGTTAGTAGTTCCTTGATTGGAATATTGTTTACTTCTTGATCGTTGGCTTAGTATTCATCCTGCTGTTAATGTCTGGGTGTTGATCGCTGATGGGAAAGTGTTTTGGTCTTTTTTAATTCTTTTTTTCGGTTTTGATTCCGGGTTGGGATTCTACCAGTTCAGACAAGTTCTATAGAACCAGTTGTTATGATTCTGTGCAGTTCGGAGAACCGGCAAATCGTGCCCCTGGCTGGCCCCGCCCCCTTCTGCCCAGTCAGTTCTTATCGCATATGTGCAACATTGCGTGTATGCCCGACATTGCTGACTGCGTTCTTCCCCACCCAGTCACTCCTTAAGGTATTTTGTTCCCCTCACGACGATCAGCTGTTCTTATGAACAGCTGTTCTGGGATTCCCTTTACTTACTTACTGCTTTACCCAGGAGGCTTTCCTGAAGCCCAGGAAGGCAAAAAATGGAGAGGGGCACAGCACTGGTGCCAAAAAAGGGGAGTCACATGGCCACACCCACCTAGCCATGCCCATAGAACCGGTTGTTACAAAATTTGAATCCCACCCCTGTTCTGATTGTCCCTTTTGAAGGGCATGTAGACGCTGATCCCTGCCTACGGGTGCATGTGCTGAATGAATGAACAGAATCTGACTGTGTAAAGCTACAATGAAAATAAATAGATGTTTGTAATCCTGAGGTAAGTGAGGTAACTGGTCAGGTGTCAGTATCCATCATATGATGTCAGCATGCTGTGGATTTCCACCTGCCAGTTCTGGCCTAAGCTATATTACATGTTGTACTTATCTGAATGGGGCATGATGGCTCAGTGGTAAAAGATGCCGAGTGTGCCAGCTGGAAAGCTGACAGCTGGTTTTGAGACCCGAGGGCTGCACAAAAGGGTGAGCTCCCGTTCCTTGGCCCAGCTCCCACCCACCTAGCAGTTCAAAAGCATGCAAATGCGAGTAGATTAATAGGTACCATTTCAGTGGAAAGGTAACAATGTTCCATGCGCTTTTGGCATATAGCAGGGGTGTCAAACTGGTGGCCCATAGGCCAGAGATGTTCCACGCAGGCTATGCCCACCCCAGCTCCACGAAGGGAAAAATGTTGCAAAACATCACGACAGCAACGTGACGCGGCAAGTTTGACACGCGTGGCATATAGCCATGCTGGTGATATGATCTCAAAAAATGTTTTCACACAATACTGACTCCCTTGGCCAAGAATGGGGATGATAACTGTGCCTTAGAGTCGGACATGACTGGCAGGGAAACCTTTATCTTTACTTACCTAAGTATGTACAGCTGGATTTTTTTTTATTTACTTATTTTATTTCTATAGTTGCCCATCTTAACAAATGACTTTGAATGGAGGATGCTGGTGAACCATTTCCAAATCCATTCAACCCAAACTTCCTTGCAGAGGTTGTGTGAAATAGCATGAACCCCTCCCTGAGCACAGGGATCAAGTGGTCCTGAAAACCCATTTTAATCTATCTGATTAGGCCTCAGCTGGTCGAGCATGCCTTTCAGTTTAAAAAAAAAGTTACCAGTAACTCTTTTAATAGGACCCAATTGTCTTAATGAGAGATAGAAATAAGATAATCTTTTCTTGTGTGTGTTTTTGTTTTAAATAGAATAGGTTGGATGATCTGAGTCGACGTCCTTATAGCAGAGGAACAGAAGGTAAGGATCCAATAGAAAGTCCAGTAAAACACTGATCATTGGCAATCATATTACTGGTGTGGGCCTCTCTCTATAATTATGCATTCTAAATCATAATAAAATCAATCTGATTTTTTTTTTAATTTGTGCATTTCATTGGTGTGTGATGAGGTTTTTAAGAGCTTTGGTAGCTAACTTTTGATGAATGGAAATGCAAAAGCAATGTGATGGTTTCCAACAACGTGTGCAAATGCGTTTAAATCAGTGACTTGCTTTTGCAGGTATATAATCCAATAATAAACTAACTCCTCTTTTCAACCAGCTGTTCTAACTATACTTACCTATGAGCTCTTTTCCATCCTGTCTTCCCATCTCTTGTTGAATTAGCTCAAAATCCACTTGGTGCAAATTCAGTGAGAGATCCACTATGCAGTCTTTATATTAAAGCTGGGCCTAAATTAAGATGTTATAATTTAAGATATTATTCAACAGCGAGAACCTACACAGGAGGAGAAGGATTTTATACCAACGACCCTGAGAATGTATTACCTGAGGATGGATGCGTCCCGCCACCAGGTAATCTTACTTGACTTGGCTTCTTTTTACCTCATACAATATCTTAAATTATCTCTTAGCTTCGTTAATCTAAAGACTGCCTAGTTGATCTTCCTTTTATTTTCCATTTACCAAGGATTCCTGTATCCCATTCTGAAGAAAAGCAGGTTTGGATTGTCCGAGTTCAAAAATGTGGAAATAGAGAACGCTTCCTCCTAGCAAGTTTTGGTGGAATGTGTTTAGCAGTTCTGAGTGTGATAAGTCCCTGAGAACCAGAGCAATACGTGGAGTTACTTCTAAGTAGTTTATTCTTGTTCACCTACAGATTGAATCTTGACAGACTAAAATAACTATCTGCATAACTATAGATAGATTCTGTGAACTGCTAGGGAGCAATCATCTTAGCTCTCTTTCTGCCTATTAGACATTCCAAGGTCCATGTTTTTGGCCTCTGAGAGGCAACCCCTCCTTCCTCAGTCTCCAAACTATGTTCCACCACAATTTCACATGTTTGCAGACTATAAACTGCTTCATAGGTAGCTCAGACATCAATTACTTTCTTCTTCCTGTTTTGCATTTTTACATCGATCAGTTCTATTTTATTTATACACCACTGCTATCCACCTGTATTTATGGCAGTTAACATTAGTTAAAAGTCAAAAAGACTGTGCTTGATGGTATTCCTTGACAAAAGAATTCTTGTAAACTTCAGTGTTTGCATGACAGTTTTTAAACGCTCAGTTCATAAAACTTGCCTCTATATAAATGTTATACTTTTTTCCTCTTATGGTCAGCATCCCTGCTTCTGTCATTTCCTTAATGTTTATAATGTTATGTAGATTTGGACACAAGTTATTTTTTATATTCTGTTATGAAAGTCACTAGTTGTTGACTCTAATTCTTTCTCAGGTTTTACAGACTAATGATTACAGATCTGAACTGCAGAAGCCTAGACAACCACAAGGTGGAACCAAAGAGACTATTTGCATATCTTTGTCACCATCTAGTGGTTATGTGAATTTTGGCTACCTTCAATTCTCCTGCTCTAGTAATGAACCTGTACTTGCTGTTGAGTAACATTAAAAAATCTCAAACTTCATAATTTAAATCTAAATTTTAAAGGCAATTTAGTGAAAGCATGTCATCAGACAGATGGAGACTAAAGACTTCCCCGTGTATTCTTACTTTCTCTATCAGCTCTCCATATTACTGCAGTAAATCTTCTTTGTGGTACAGTGTGGCTGGGTACAGGGAAAGAACACACAGACTGGTTTTTATTGTAGAGTTTTGTAAAATGGCTTTGATAAAATTGTGTGTTGAAGCTTCATTGTTCCTCTCCTGTTGCCTTTAATTTACAGAGAAGCATCTCCTTTATGGCCGCCCAGCGGTTCTTTTTCGTACAAAGTACAGCCTCTTGCATCATCATGACTTTGAAAGTGGCTACAGCGAAACATTCCAGATGCCTCTCTGGACATCTTACACTATTTCAAAACAGGTCAGTAAGGTTGCCTGCTTCAGTAGCAGGGGTGGGAGGAGGAGGTGTTGGTAAGCATCCTCAGCTTATCCAGGCTCTGTCCAGCACAGTCATCTTTCAGTGTACAGTATGTAGTTTGCAGCTATATACATTTTCTTTTTTTATTTTCTTTTTGTTTGTTTGTCAAACATGTACAAGATAACGAGTGTAGGTATGAACATAAACATGAACAAAGGGAGTAAATACAGGTAAATGGGGACAGTAAGACGGGGCGGTAGGCACGCTGGCGCACTTATGCACGCTGGTGCGCTAATGCACGCCCCCTTTAAGAACCTCTTAGGAATGGGGTGAGGTCCACAGTAGACAGTTTGAAGTTGAAGCTGTGAGGGGTTGAGGCTGTAACAACGGAGTCAGGTTCCAGGCATTGACCACTCTGTTGCTGAAGTCCTATTTTCTGCAATCGAGTTTGGAGCGGTTTACCTTGAGTTTGTTATCAGTTGTTTGCCCATGTATTATTGAGATTGAGGCTGAAGAAGTCATTGACAGGCAAGATGTTATAGCAGACAGTTTTGTGAACTATGCTTTAGATGGGACTGCAGGCGGCGCAGTTCTAGATTGTCCAGGCCCAAAATTTCAAGCCTGGAAGCATAGGGAATTCATTTGAGGAATGAGGAAAAGAGTTGAGTGAACCAGTAATTGTTAAGATGATATACTGGGACTGGGGAGATCCTGTTCGAAGTCCATCTTGAGTCACAAAAGCTCACGAGGTCGCTTGGAACTAATCACTCTGCTTCACAAGGGAATTGTTTTTGAGAAACATTGAAGGAGGGAGTGCTAGTTATTTTCCCTTTAACCCCTGGAAAGTAAAGGTTATATATATATCTGCACTTGTTCAATTCAATGTGACCAGAATAAAAATTTAAAAATTAAAATAAAATAAAACAGAATAAGGCAGTAGTAGTGCAGGGGTGTCAAACTCAATTTCATTGAGGGCTGCACCATGGTTGTGTTTGACCAGCTATGCAACCAATCCTTGCATTACGTCTGTCACAACATCTTGCAGTCAATCAAGTGATTACCATTTGTGAGCTTCACAACTGGCTTCCAACAAGCAGTTGTAATATAGAATGTGGAAGTAAAATTGCAAGGTGTAGTCACATGATGTCTCTCTTAACAACTGCAGTGAGTCACTTAATGATGTAAGCAGAAAAGGTGTTGTAAGTCTGGTGTGATCATATGATTTTTTTACCCTAGTGACCATGGTGCTTAGTGATGGATTTCCCAATCCCAGTTGAGGCTGTTAAGTGAAGACTGCCATTATATAATACAAGCATACAATATGAACACACACACACACACACACACAATACTTTGTTTCAAATGTCACCTGTCTACCTTCTTCTTTTGATGCAGGCAGAGACATCTGGTGTCCCAGACCAGGTGATCAGTTGTGTAAGACCTGATTTGCGCATTTCTCCAAGCAATAGTCAGAGTTGTACCGCCTACAGAGTGGATAGACAAATGTCTTACGGATTCCTGTTTCCTCCCCGTAAGCTGATGTGGGACACCTGTTAATCTTTATATTCCTGGGTTTGGCATAGAAATCAAGATAAAGAGAAATACCAAATTGGGATTCAAGCAGCAAGCTTGGAGGACAACCCTCTATCTAAATCTACAACCCGAGCTACGGATATTCTCTACAACTTCTAAAAAATCAAGCTGCCTATGAAACATAGAAGTTGGAACACAGAAAGAATGTGTTCCTTTCGGTTTTTGAGACTTAGAGAGGAATTCCGCTAATTCCACGTTTCCTTGGGGCAAGGAGGCAGGAAGTGGCTTCAGCCCGGATGGTTTCTTCACATGCTGAAAACCTCTTATCAAAGATGATAAGGGGTCTGGAGCAGGGGTGGGATTCAAATTTTTTAACAACCGGTTCTGTGGGCATGGCTTAGATGGTGGGCATGGCTTGGTGGTCATGTGACTGGATGGACATGGCTTGGTGGTCATGTTATTGGCTGGGCGTGGCCAACTCTATCACTCACATCGAGGCACGCATCTTCTCGCCTGGCCTCTCATGACTGTGGGGATGCTGCAACAGTCGTAAGTGTGAAAAATGGTCATAAGTCACTTTTTTCAGTGCCATTGTAACTTTGAATGGTCACTCCACACAAGCAAAGTACCAGCAAAGAAGAGGAAAAAAAACTCCAGAGAAGTTCCTGAGACAGGAAGTCTAGTCCTGCCAAGAATGTAATAAGGGTTATTGGAGAAGCAGTTTCTGTAAGCAACACCAGAATGTTTCCTTCCTGCCTTCCTTACAGGATTAGGCCAGTAATTTCTTCTAACAACCGGTTCTCTGAACTGTTTAGAATGTTAAAAACTGGTTCTAGGAAATAGGTGCAAACTGGTAGAATCCCACCCCTGGTCTGGAGGCTAAACCATATGATGAATGATTGAGGGAATTAAGTATGTCTGGTCTGCCAAAGTGAAGGTCTAGAGATGATATGACAGCAATCTTCTAATACTTGAGGAGCTGTCACAGAGAAGAGGGCATCAGCCTATTCTCCAAAGCACCCGTGGGCAGGGCAAGAAGTAATGGGTAGAAGATCATTAAAGGGAGATCCAACCTAAAACTAAGGAGACGTGTCCTGATAGTGAAAATAATTAAGCCAGAAGTTGTGGGTGCTCCCATCACTGGAGGTTTTCAGGAAGAGACTGCTCAGCCATTTCTCCAGAATGATGTAAGGTCTCCTTCTTGAGCAGGGCATTAGACTAGAACAGTGGTCGACAACTGGTGGTCCGTGAGAAAATTTGGGTGGTCCGCAGAAAAATTATTTGCATTTTTTATATTGCACTAAATCAGGGGTCCTCAAACTGTGGCCTCTGGGCTGGATACATACAATGAACGTTTGTGTTGCTGCAGAGTCTCTCCCGCTTCCCCGGGGTCTTTTTGTGCGGGTTGGAGGGGGGCAGAAATTCCAACTTAGGGTCTGTTTCAGCCTCCTGGGGCTTTGGGCGAAATGGTGCTAGCGGCGAAATGCCAGAGGGCCTTGTTCCAGTGAGACTGCATCATGGCCTGGAACTAGCTGGCCATCTCAGCCCGCTGAGCCTCCAGGCACCAGTACCTGGCCTCGCACTGCACTCCCGCGGGTCTTCCCTCTGATTGGAAAGCCTATGCTTGTAGTCCTCGGTGAGGCGCTTCTGCTGAGCCTCCTTCTCGGTCAGACCCAACTTGAACTGGGCCAGCTGTTCTGCAAACTCTTTCTCACAGTGGCTGCTCCAACAACTGCTTCCTGTTGGGGCCCTAAGGAGCCCAGGCGGGTAGGTTAGGAGTGACTGGGAGGGGAAGGGTTAGTAGAGGCTGGATAGGTGCCCCTCAACATAAATGACATCCAGTTGGCCACACCCACCCAGTCACATGACCACCTAGCCACACGCACCTAGCCGGTCATTACGCAGATCATATTAATGGTCCGTGGGATTTAAAATGATTAATTTAATGGTCCCTGAGATCCAAAAGGTGGTTGACCCCTGGACTAGAAGACTTCCAAGCCCTCTTTCAACCCAACTATTCTATGTTCTTCTAAGAATATGATCTCCACTAGTTCTTGGTTACTATCTAGAACAGAGGTCTCCAAACTTGGCAACCTTAAAACTTGTGGACTTCAACTCCCAGAATTCTCCAGCCAGTTGGCTGGAGTTGGCTGGAGAATTCTGGGAGTTGAAGTCCACAAGTCTTAAAGTTGCCAAGTTTGGGGACCCCTGATCTAGAGCTAGTCTTTACACATGAACCCTGAAGTTTACCAGTATAATTAATTCTGGCATGCCATAAAAACATCTTATTTTTTTTTAAATTTTCAGAACTCAGTTCCTCGGTAGAAACAAAATATGATGCTTTCCTGATAACAAATGTCATTCCCATGTTTCCTGCTTTCAAAAGTAAGTACACAGTTTTTGAATCTTTGAGGTAGAAGGGTGTACAAATGTTGGCAAATAAATAAAAAAAATAGTTTTAAATTTTGCTTTGGAGAAGCCAAGTGCTTGCTTTACACCTCGATGAGAGTTGAATTAGATTATTTCCAAGCAACAATGGAATCACAGAATGGGGTAGCCAGCCAAATTGCTATTTCTATTAGAATATTTTAAACGGCTGGATGAGGAGGGTTTTTAAGCTTGGTCAGAAACATATAACATTCTAGAAGCTTTGGTTTCAAGCTCTTTAGGTGTTTAAAAATCATAATCAGCATTTTGAATTGCAAA